ATATGAAGTTCTCTGTGGTGGTGCAACGTTGTATTACAGGATGACTAGTTGTTGCTTTTGAGTTAACTTTAATTTGTTCGCAGAAAATCTATCCGCAGAAAATCTGATTGTAATTCTAACACTACTTGGTAAAAGAGAAAAAAGGAAGTGTGTTTGACTTTTTTCAGTCTTTAATATACAGGTGGTGGGGAAAAAAAACAAATTTCTTCTTCTGTTTTTCAGGCAACTGGAATGGAACTGAATCTGTCGAAGAATGGGATTTCTTGTGGAGACCCAGGTATGTCTTTTGTTCTCTGTTTGGTTAAATAATGATATTGCCTTTGTGACAATGTGAGTTTTACATAGTTTGATACTATAACTAGAAACTAAAGCAAAAGTGATGCTGTAGTCCTCAAGCACGAACCTGCGGTGCCTCTCGGTTTGGCGCAAGGTCAGAACTTGTTATTGATGAATGTCGCAGCACACAGGCTGTGCGTGTTCATTGGCATCTGCTTTTGCGCTTTTAGACGCAATAGGTTTCCTATGTGGTGAATTAATGTGCATGGCATTTACATGCTGATATGCGGAAATATCAGATAATGAGATGCAAATGGAAGCGTGCGGAAATAAAATGAAAACAGACCGAAAATAAATTTTCAACAATGTAGTTTTACTTCCACGTAGTAATCTGTTTTATTGCGGGTGTCTGGTTTCTGATGATAATCATTTCCCGGTGAGTTGTTTTGCATTTGAAAAACAAAAAAGTGGAAAAACAGCAAGCCAGATTGACAGCAAGCAACAAAAAGCTCTATTCAGAAGGAAAACTGTTTCCAAGAGTAGATGTTCACATGCAAATCTTTTCATAGCACAAATAAAGCAGTTTTTCCTTCAACCTGGGTTTAATCACAAACCGAGGAAAGAGGGTAAAATGGAGACGTGAAACATTGGAAAATATTCGTTTTTTGTTTGTTTTTTAAACATTTAAATGACAGACAAACACGTTAGATGGAGCCTGTCCTTTTATATCTAATTTTCTTTCAGGAAATACACTTTTATAACAATGAAGCAGCTTTAAAATGAAGGTCAGATACTAAACAGCACAACACATACTGGAAACAATATTATTATAAAGACAAACTGGCTCCTGGGGGAGAATTCATACCAATGAAGCTTTATTAAAGAATGCAATTTATGTTGCTAATAGATACATGTCTTTTCTGAGGAACTCTGTATTTTTTGAGGATTAATTCCACCTTAATTTATCAACCTGTTCTAATTTACTTTAAAAACACAGTAAACGGCTTCTGGGCTGAGTAAACACACAGGATGATGTATGCATGCGCACCGGACTGGCTTAAATTCAACAAACAGATTTATCACACATCTGACAAAATCCTGCACATTTTATGGCATTTTTATGATTTTTTTTTACAACTTTTTTCGTGTGATGGCCATTAGAGGCTGTTGTTTTATTTACACCTGCATCCCCTCTGTCAGGTTGTTTGTTGGTTGTCAGGCTCCAGGTCAAACAGGCCTTGGACCAAGCAGGGAAACCATCACCAAGGAAATAATCAGCTCTGTCCTTCTCCAGTTACCCAACGTGTCCGGTTACATCTCCACTGCTGTCCTGACTTTGAATCTGCTCGACAGCTTTAATTTTCTATATGCTTTTTTTGGGCCCCGTGGTTAACTTGACTTTGTTTGGTTGCCTTACAGTAAAAAAAACACACCTCAAGACTGTATTTTGATGTATTTGGTGTGTGATTAACGGAGTTCGCAGAGTTTATTTTCACTTCTTGGAGGAAAACTATGAGTGTTTGCATTGCCACTGGCCTTTAACCTGTCCTGCCGGATGGAAAGGCTTTTTAACTCATCCATCACACGCAAGTGCCCTCCAGAGCAGAGGAGGAGCAGGACGCAGGCAGGGATGCAGGCTGAGGAGGCTGGGTATTTAGATTAGCCCCATCTATCAGCCTGTAATATCTGCTGGAGGACAGAGGAAGGTAGAGGAACTCCTCCATGGAAAATCTCCATAGCGCTGTAAATCCTTTAATATTCCAATGGGGACTTCAAGGGTCAGTGGGTTTATTGTGATTTTATCTGCTGTAGTGCTGCTGCTGTAATATTCATAGATTATCAAAATGACTTAGAACTCAACTGTTTCATTGACCCTGACAGAGCAGCACACACAATGTACCCACTAACCCGCGACGCTTTCGAGGTTCCTGAACTGCATAGTAAATACCACCTGCTGATACAATGGAGGGGACCAGGTCCTTGAGGTCACTTCGGCACAGTTTAATTTGTCCGTATTCTGTGCCAAATATCTCTTCGAAATTCAATTTAACGTACTTGGCTGCAGCTCAGAAAGAGGGTTAGCAGGTAGGGGGTAGTCGTTTTCCTGCCCAAGGGCACTACAGTAGACTATATGTGTGGGTCGAACTGGTTACAGGCCTATAGCTGCACATGTTGGAGGATAGTCTATGATTCTGCTATGTAAATCAAAACCATTGGTCACTTTAATGTCTAGATATTTGGATTTTTTAATTTCAATGAATGAATATGACTATTTGTGCACAGGCCCTTCTATGAGCCCCACTCTCTTTAGAACAGGCTCTGTGCGGAGAGAGACTGAACAAATATGGAAAAAGGCAAGTGATTGTTGAAAGCTTGCACAATTGTCTTTTGAAAGGGCCTTCGGGGGAGCTTTCCGGTCGGACGGGGATCTCATGTCAGAAGTCACCGTCATACAATGGCCGAAAATCCTCGAGACTGGCGCCGGTGACAGTCCGAGTCTCAGACGGTGAGGCCTAAGCCGGTGCGCAATTCCCTGACACATGTAGGATATAAGTCACAGCAAGTAGGCAGGACAGCTGGTCTCATATTGCAGGAGAGACTTACAGCTAATAGTCTGCAATGAAAGAAATGTTTACATCATTCATGTTTGGCACTTGCGTAATTGCGCAGAGACACAACAAAAAAAACAAAAAACTCGGAGGTGATTTTCCTCAAGAAATTGGTTCCGTCGTTGTGCTTGACTTGTTTTACTTTTAGCAGAAAAAAAAGTTACATTTTTAATGTGTTAAAGTTTATGCCTGAATGTTTGGCTTCTTTTGAGAGTAAGACATACAATTTTAAGGCTTTAAGTCTACTTCAGTAAACAATTCAAACTCTAAATATTGCAGTCTACACATGCGCAATCACATTAAAAAGAGCACGCACAGAGAGCACGTATATGCTGAAATAGGCCCAATACGTTGATGTATCCGAATAAAACACCACAAACTACATTACTCAAGTCCTATTGGCCTGATTTAAAAAAACAAATCCCTACCCGACTTGCAAAGATGCACCAGGTCGACTTAAACCTCAAAGTATTACAAAAAGGCCTCACCTGGCGCCATCGTGACCTCAAATGTAGAAGTTTGGCCTCCGTTTTTTGTGACCAGCAGGCGCCGCTGCGTTTTCTAACAGAAAGAAGTTTGTAAAAAATCTTCTCACTGCATTGCTGCACGTTTTGCTCCAATAAAGCACACACTGTATCAGTCTACATCTAGAGGAAGCTCTGTAGTTCTCCACACAATTATATTAATGTTCAGAAGGTTACTGTTCACTTTGCCTGCGCTGTGAGTCAATGCAAGCACTGTGTATGCGTGTCAGGGAGGACATACTGTAGCTCGGGGAGAAAACAGTCTGCAATTGTAACATCTGATTTGAAATTTGGATTTTCAAATGAGCTTATAGCCATTTCACGACTTTATATAAATTACAAACCCAGGAACTGAGTGGGGCTTGGATTCAGGATTGCAGAAATACTACCAGTCTCCACAGTCGTAAAACATCTATAAAGCCCGGGCGCCTGCGACTGGCCACCACTGGTTGCCATGTGTGCGTCAGGGCCAGCGAAACTGTCTAAAAAGCAAATGTGGACAGCAGAATGGGGGTAAGCAGGTGTTCTGGGTTGGAAAGAGGCATTGTTAAAACTGAAAATGCCTTGTGTACCATTTTCCTGACAATGTACAACATTTTGCTGCATTTTCTTGAACATGTTGGTTAAAAGGCACCATAAGTAGCCATAGTCAGGTTCTCTATAATCAGGTCATATTAGGGGACCATCCATCAAAATGGGATTTGTGCTGGGAGATTGGGATCCAGTCACACATGTTGTTTAGAAGAAGTTTGGGGAAAGTGTCAACAGATTATTATTGTCTAAGTTTGTTTGGTAGAAACAGCCTGGTAGTGGCCCCTGAAGTCCAGGTTTTAAGTAGGGAGCTCTGGTCTGCCTGGGAGTTATTGGTCCTGATTGTTTATTTGCGATAAAACAACGAGCTGATAGAACGACACTTGTCATTCATACACACAATAATCTTCATATCATCGTGCACTTTTCATACTGAGGAAACAGTAACAGGGCAGGCCCGCGTTAGATGGCAAATGTTTATTCAGCTCAGTACATATCCGAGACATACATTGTGTGTGGGGATTGTGTGTATAAGCGCACCCAGTTGCGTTGCGCTGGACACATTTCAAACATGCCAGCACGAATAAAAGGCCCATTTTACTCCTGAAAAGAGCAAAGCGTTGCATTGCGCGCTCCGGACTACTGAAAAAAAACAACTAATGAACGCTGCAAAAAATGTCTGTTAAAGATTCAGTCAGGTACTGAGCTTTAAAGTCTATCAACAAGTTAACAAACTGGTAAACATTCATGGTAGGAGTTGTCTGTTTTGCTCAGATGGGTCCCCTTTCTATGTTTTAATTCCACCTTCACTTGATTGAAGAATTTGCTGCTGTCGCATGAGACAGAACCAAACGTCTAATGAATTGATGGCACCGTTTTCCATTTGTTTTAACTTGACGTCAGACTGAATATCTTGTTTCGGTGGATATTTTCTTGCAGTGGGCAGGTTTTGTGGGTGGGACTCGCTCATTTTGGGGAGGTTAAACGCAGCAAATGGGTGGGTCTCTTGTGTGGGTTGGAGAGCCGGAGCTTCCTCTCGTCACAGCGGACTGAAGCTTTTCCCTGTAGCGGAGAGAAGGAGAGCGCACTGGGCTGTCACTGCTGCGAAGAAGGGAAAAAGGGGGCTGTGTGAATGTTGTTTGCCTCCAAGTTTCTTTTTTTTTTCGTGGAAGAACAAAACTCTTGGTGGAGAGTCTCCCTGTATGGTTCATCCTTTCATGTCGTGGCGTGTGTCTGGCAGCGGGTGGATTTTTAGCTGTTGATGAAAAGCTTTGTGCACCCCAGGATTCACCCCGTTTCCTCTTTGTACGCATCCTTCTCTTCAAGGTGGGATGAATTTGGACAGAATCGCAGAGGCAGTGAGAGCACCGCCGCCCCGCGACGTGGCCCCCGCGTTTCATTTACCGAGAACTTCAAACAGCAGTCGAGAAACTTTAGAGAACTCAAGCAGCGAGTCTTCAGACACAGAGTTGGCAGGTACACAGTCAGAGTGCTTTTAGCAACTCGCTTCCTTCTTCTGAGTGCAATAACAGTTTATTTTACGTCTCCATAAGCACGTTTATGGGGGGCTGTCACAGAGGCATCCCTGCAGTTTAAGGCTACGGGAAAATGAGACAGTATTTTAGGTAACTTGTATGTGCCCAGTGTGCTTATTCCCACTGCGATGGCGATTTATTTCCGTATGTTGCGGTGCAACATGCACCTGGATAAAATACATCAAAAGCCATTTGTAGTAAATGTTAGTTTGGGGTATTTCTTCTGTCCAGTTTAATGTGCATTAATACAACAGAACAGGGAAAATAGTCCAGTTTTTGGTGCAGTTACACCCCATTTTCTGTTTATTGCGCTGGCTGAACCAAACACTTGGCAGGATCCCGAGGTCTGTCAGGGAAAAATGTGCAGAACAGCCTGGCCTGCAGTCAGTAAATGCATTAAAACAAACTATAAATATTAGGCCGGTTCTCCAATCTAAACTGAAAGCCAGAAGGTCTGTATTAACAATTGTTGGATAAGCTTTTTGTTCTGCAACTTTGCCACTTTAAAAAAAAAAAAAAAAAACTCTTTCTCGGTTTCACATGAGTAAGAGATAGTAAATATGGGTGACAGTCATTTATTTCTCATTGCTTTTGTTCATATTATTTATGGGGCTTAAATTAAAAATGATGTTGTGGCTTTAAGTCTTAAGTTGCTTTTTATTTTTGGCAAACTTTCAAGAGACTATCCCCTCTTTGTGATTAACCTTTGCACGTGTTGACCCTTCAGTTTAATGAGGCAATCTTTTTAGAACACGAACACAAAGATAGCAGTTGGGAGATAAGAGTGGGCAGACCTCGTCGTAAAGAAAGTAATATTGATCTATCAACGTAAAGCGAAGCACATCTAAAGTGTGTTTAAAAGAATCGATACAAAAGCTCCCAGACATGTTTGTAAATATTTGGCTTTAAGCCGTCACTTCTCTTCGGAGGCTTATTTTTTATGGACAGCTTTATATATATTTTATTTATAGCTTTGGCTTTGTATATTTCATGCTGACAGGCCTCTTCTGTAGTTGACCTAAAGCTTTTTAGTTTTCAAATACAGGTGCAAATACTAACATCTTCAATGCAAAAAAAAAACACCCTTATTTGCATGCTATTCAAAATACTTTAAAACTGTACAGAGTTATTTCACCACGATTTATGTTCCACAGAAAAGGAGAGGAGCGCTGAACACAGGAGCGATGACGGGAACGCGGACGATCCCAAGAAGAAGAAGCAGCGGCGGCAGCGGACTCACTTCACCAGCCAGCAGCTGCAAGAGCTGGAAGCCACTTTCCAGAGGAACCGGTACCCGGACATGAGCACCAGAGAGGAAATCGCCGTGTGGACCAACCTGACCGAGGCCAGAGTCCGGGTAAGAGGCCAAAAGGCATGCCGCCGGCCGTGCGTAAAGTGTGCGTAATACGTGCGTAAAGACGATTTGACAAAATTATAGCATTCTTTAGTGGATCTGTTGGGTTGGAGGATTCTTAATTAATTACCTTTAATACGTGGAATAACTCCAACAAGAAAACTAATGAAACGTTGAGCTAAACATCCTGAAATAAACATTTACAAAACGTAATTCTAAAATTAAAAATTATATTTAAAAATTAAAATTTGCTCAATGTCAGGGTCACACTATTTGATCGGTGCGCTCAGTTTTACATGGTAATTAATTAATCCCACTAACCTTTTGATGCAAAACTGACCATCGATTTGCCTAAACATCTATTTTAATAAGATTCTCCATGTGGATGTCACAGAGTCGTTCTACCAGCATTTATATTTCATAGCAGGACATATCAACATCCTTTGTAATATTATATGTGGCATTGAGGTCTGCAGTGTCGTTTTGCACTGAACGACTTTATCCTGTGCGCTTATTGAATAGAAGAGATCCTGTAAATTACTGCAGTGACTTTAAAACAACTCAGTTAGAAATTAAATATGTGATTTAATTCAGAGACACGCCGAAGAAAATCCGTTGACAAAAACTGGGAAAACTTAAACTAGTAGCGTTAACAGATATTAAGTTGCAGTCATCCCTGACTGTCAGCTGGGGTGTATCCAAAAAGTAAGTCTTGCATTATTAAAAACGTGCGTAATTCTCATCACCCTGCGCATTTCTGACACAAGGACAAAATCTGCTGCTGTTTTAAAACACACGTTCATGTTCACATATTTCATGTTGGAAGTTTAGCAGAAATGAAAGCTGTCCATAACTATTTGGATCTGTTGGAAATGACATCCTTTTTTAAAGGGTGTATACGCGCTGCTAATGGAGCCAATGGGGGATTTGTCTTTTGATGACATCACCACGAGTCTGGACCCTTATTTGTCCCCGTGGAGGAGACTGTTCACGCAGCCAAATCTACCTGGAGCTGCTCAATGAATAGGAACAACATTGTGATTATATTTATTCAGGGGGGATTTTTTTTTTTTTTAGCATCAGGACGATGCATTAAAAACTTGGAGGGGGGGGAATCATATGAACCAAATCTTATTTTTATCAACTTTAATCATAAGAGATTGATATTCTTGTAACAATAGGGCCCTTTTAGAAGTAAAAAATAGCTGACACAGTAAGTTGTTTTTTATTCTAGGTAACACATGGACACTTATGCTGTTTTTACACATCAGTAAAAACGGCATGCTACTGGCTGGCTGCTACTTTCTCTGAAAAAAAAAGTGGATGCAAGAAATGTGCGTTAAACACAAAACAATTGCAGTTGGTTTTCATTTACAGCAACTGGCGCCTGGCGTCCTGTCCTTGCAAAATCCACCGTCTCAAATTGCGTAAAAAATGCATACAGCTATTTAAAGTGCAGGGAAAAAAGTAAAAAAAAAAGTCTCTGAACAAGTTTAGAGTGCTGGATTTTCATTTCTGGGGCCACGGAGGGTGAACAGTGCAGCCTTTTATTTTCAGTGGAATAAAACGAAAACACTGTAATGAGCATGGCGTGACAGTGCAGCCTGAATATTTCTGATTCATATCTGAGCATTTAATAAAATGTTTTGACAGGTTTAAGTGTTTGGACTCGACCTTTTAAGGTCACCAGTGTTTAATCAAGCTTGACAGATAGATATTGAGATTTGGGGGCTCAGCTATTTTGCCATCGTCTAATTCGCTCTAATTAGGTTTTTTGCTTGTTAACAGGACGTTAAAACCAAAGTATATATTTTTATGCTCTGTACAGGAAGCTGAAGCGCTGCTGTGAAAAGCAGCCTGCGTGTGTTTTCTCCCCAGCTCTCTGTCACATCGCTCATGTCTTTGTGGACAATTTGTCCGCAGCACCCTGTTCCCTGCACGGCTATAAATAGCCTCCGCGGGCCCGTCTGATGATACCACTTGTAAACTGTTTCTACTATGAATTAAAAATGACTCGCAGAGTGCCGACTAACGGATATTTTGTCAGGTTTCGATAAGGTGTGAAGATATCCAGAGGCACTTTTTCTGATTCATTTACAGTTATCCGCTGTGTGTGTGTGATTCATGATGTAAACTTGTTGGTTTTATTTTGGAAAGTCTGACCTACATACTAAACACACACGCGTAGGCGTAAATTTCACACGCATGCAACGCAGGAATTAGTTTAATATCATTGTTAGACATGAAGTAATAACAATTAGGTTAAAGTAAATACTAGTCTATAATAAACTAATTTCAACACATCCTTGGATTTAGCTCAAGTCTAAACATGTATATTAGGGGCCACTGTTATAATTTATTTTAATTATGTCATTTATAAAACGAACAAACAAAATTAATAAGATCAGTTTAAATGTTGTACCCCTGTGAATTAAAAAATGAACCTTGCTTAAGATTTTAAGCAAGGTTTTTTTTTTAAAAATAAAATAAAATCAAAACAAGACAATTTTGAATTTTAAAAAACTTTCAAGAGTTTTCATATGCAACGATTGTGGATTGTTGGTCATTTAATTATGTTTCTTGTGCGCAAATAACTCCAAATAAATGTGGCTTTAATAAATAATTATTTAATAAATAGCTGATTCTAAACATGTGCAAATAAAAAGCAGCAGTTTGGATTTAAGACAGTCACAGTTTCACCTACCATATAGTTAATATTCACTTTTGATGATTTTGTTTTCAAACTCAGCATTAGAGCCAATTAAAGTAGAATTTTACTGGATGAATTCGAAGTTTATGTCTGGTTTGTAGATCCGTTGCAGGAAACTGGACTGACAGTGAGGATTTTAGTAGTATGTGTCCACTGGGAAAAAGAAAAGAGCCATAACACCTCAAATACAAATGAGTCAAGACTTGGACATTCAAAAGCTGAGGATACATTTCACTTGGGAAAAAAGTGTTATTTTCCATATTTAAAAAAGGGACAAGGTGATTTTGTGACCATATAAATATAAACATTTATGGAGCCTATAATTGAAAAGTTTGACCAGGAGGCAAACAAGCCTTTGTTTGTGTTTTTCCTCAAATGATCATAATTAAAAAATATAGTCAAAGCCCTCTTTGCTGTATTTACAGACTGTTGTAAACAACTCTTTAGACATCTTAGAACATTAAACAGATGTTTTATTAAAGAACCATCAATCAATGTGGAACTGCAGCTTCAAATTTTGATTTTTTTTTAAAGAAAATACACTCTGCAAGTTAATTGGAATAACAAATAAAACAGCACACAATGTTGTATTTTAGTTCAGTGTGTTCTGTTGCCTAAACTTAAACACAAGCCAACAGCACTTTTGGGGGTCTGATACTGTTACTCTACTCTTATTCCAGCAGTATTAACTACAATTTTTTTAAACTGCTGCAGCGTCATTCTTAATGGAAATTTGGATATTATTCCAGCACAAGTCTTCCTGATTGTGCAACATGACATTTGGAGATTTTGACTATAAGACAAGAGTGTGTATTTAGTTTTATGAGACAAAGAAAATTCACATTTTTTACTATTTGGGGTGTTTTGCTGATTCCTCGGGTGACTGCTCCACACTATAACTGTTGCTGTGTATATCCACAGTATTAACCGTGTGTGTGTGTCCTCCAGGTGTGGTTCAAAAACCGCCGGGCTAAGTGGAGGAAGCGGGAGCGGAACCAGCAGATGGACTTGTGCAAGAACAGCTACCTGCCGCAGTTCAGCGGCCTCATGCAGCCTTATGACGACATGTACCCGGCTTACACCTACAACAACTGGCCCAACAAGGGCCTCACCCCGGCGCCGCTGTCCACCAAGAACTTCACCTTCTTCAACTCCATGAGCCCCCTCACCTCGCAGTCCATGTTCTCGGCGCCCAACTCGATCTCCTCCATGACCATGGCGTCCGGGATGGGCCACTCCGCCGTGCCGGGCATGCCCACCCCGGGCCTCAACAACATCAGCAACCTGAACGGGATCGGCACGTCCGGCATCAACTCGGCCATGTCGTCGTCAGCGTGTCCGTACGGGCCTCCCGGCTCTCCGTACAGCGTTTACCGGGACACTTGCAACTCCAGCCTGGCCACCCTCAGACTCAAATCCAAACAGCATCCGACTTTTGGATACAGCGGCCTGCAGAGCCCCGGGTCCAGCCTGAACGCCTGTCAGTACAACAGCTGACGGGCCAAACGCGGAGCCTGAATTTTACAAATATAAATAAATATATATGTGATAAACGGACACTGTGTCTGAGCTTATAGGCTACCTGCGGATTGGAGGAAAAAAAATAAATCAAAGACAACTAAACTGGATTAGTTGCAGTCATTTTTCAAACAAAAAAAAAGAAAAGAAAAAATGGATTATGCGGGTTTTATGTGTTTACCAATGAACTTGCACAGCAATTGAAATGTCCAGGGCTTATTTTTTTTATTTTTTTTTTTAATGAAGACGTGTTACATTGCTGCATTGTACATATACTGTATAAATGTAAATATATACAGGCATAACATATGAAACACGATGGGATGTTTTTTTTTTCTTTTTTGTGCTTGCTTGCTTGCTTTTAAAGACTGACTTGAGGGGGGAGGGAGGGAGGGGTTCTTGACCAAAACAAGGAATTGCAAGAAAAACGAATCCAGAAAAAAAAAAAAAGAAATCTAGCCTACATTGTAAATATTTTATACTGCTTCTGTGTGCTTTCTATTAACCGTCTATGCAGGATACCACCGGCCCGTTCGCCCTCCAGGACGCCTCCCGTTCAGTGACTTTACTTTGAAATGTTTTTTTTTTCCCTCCTCATTTTGTTTTGCTGAAACTGAAAACCCCGCATGTTTAACTTGAGTGCAACGTGTTTTGTACGATAATGTAAGACTTTGCAGAAGTAATTTCATTAGCCTAAACTGTATAGCCTACAAAAAAAAAGGTGATTCAAAGTCCTCATGTGTTTATGGTAACATGTTTGTTTGAATAAACTCCAGGAAAAGAGAGGTTTATTTCAAGTATGTTTTAGAGGAGTCTTTGTTTAACGAGACGACTCCTAAAAAAGGAGCAAAATAAATAACTTGGCAACATGTCGGCAGCCTATTGATCCACTCAGTTTAAAAATGATTATCTCGGGAATATGAAGATTTTTAAGGATTAACGGGACTAGCCGATAGTTATCTGGGCTTTAACCACGATATTTTATTTTTTTATTTTGTTAATTTTGAAGCTTATTCCTGCATTATTGCCCCCCCCTTATTGCACATCAAATATACTTTCTCTGTAGAGGAAAATAAATCCACCAGCGTTTATACGCATCTTGCAAACTTCCAGACCTTAATATCAAACAATTTAAAGGAATTAATAGGATCATTGAGTAAATCCTTGCTTTATATTATGGGCTGTTGTTATTTGGTGAGTATGGTAATCACCATTTCACCGCTCAGTGCTGAAAATACATGGCTCCCACATGAGCCTCTGATGTGTTTATTTTATAGATACATGTCGACATAGATTTTGTATTTTTTTTTAAACTTTGCTCTCTCACTTTAATAATACACAAAATTACATTTCACCCAGGCTCCCACTTTGAGAAACATACTGTAGGTGGTGCAGTGTGTGTAGCAGCCTTATATTACATCCAATCTTAATTTATTTACACTAATCACAGGATTAAAAAATAAAAATCTCATATGCGAGTGGAATTTATTCATTTTGAACAGCAGAAACACAAAAAAACGGAAGCACAATTCGCCAAACGCCTCCAAAACTGTATATTGCTCCTTTTGGCGACAATCTTGCGGCTGGTTTGTCCGAGTGCAAACAAAATGAATTCAATCAATACCATATCTTGTTTCCTGACACCTGCAGAGATCCCCATATCTATATTACTCACCGTCAGGCTGATATTAGCGCAGCACAAATGTAGCAGGAATGATTGTGTGCTTTGACTGATAGTGCTCTGTGAAGGGAGGATGTTGGGATTAAGAGGCAACACTTTAATAGACCAACAAATGTAAAGCTTCTAATGATTAATAATACAGCTCATGATAACCTGAGGAATTAATACACGAGTTATTTAGACCAACAAGCTCAAATGTGAACCATGTCTATAGGCATAATAGTGAGATTTAACTTTATTATTATTAAATCCCCCATCCTAATATTAATAGAAACTACAGTGTACAGTTAATTCCTTACTTTTGCCATTTAAATTGTCTACACTAATATTCATTTATTCTACCTATGATTGCGCAACATATAGGCTTGTTAAAAGTTGGTTTATTTTAACCATGTTGCTCTTTTGTATTAAATCTATAGCCCTTTAAAAATATTTGACCATAAACTGAAGGGTGCCTGTGACACTTAAAGTGAGTCTATCTTGACCATATTGTGACTTTTTGGTAATTATTTTCCCATAGAAGCTCTATAATATTTTATCTTAAGTATGTTGACCTCAACATGTGTTTATGTCTCTTAAAGTACCTATAATAGTACTTTTACTGTAACTTAAAGCATGTCTTACGCTCAAAAGTATAAGTTTAACTTGACCTGCTAGTTTCGGTGATTATTCTAGTCCCTCTATGCATGTTATCTTAATTTGTAGTGTGTCTGACACTCAAAAGCGAGTTTTATGTTGACCTTAGGACACCTGCTTGGAAAAATGTGTCCTACATTTTATAATATTAATGTGTTTGACACTCAAAAGTGAGTTTATCTTGGCCTTCGGGGGCTTTTTTGGATTAATTTATCTCCTCTAATGGCTCTGCAATATCCCTATAATATTTTACCAGTGTGTGTCTGGCACTCAATCTTGAGTTTTCTTGACTTTATGGTGTTTTTTTCCCCCCATAATTATCCTTCTGTAGTACATTCAAAATATTTCCTCTTGACTTGTGTGTACAGTCAAAATGGAGTTTGTTAAACTTGGGTGCATTTTGGGGAAATGAACCTATTAGCTTTGGAATATCCTTTACAATATATATTTACCATGGTGTTACTGGCCCTTAAAAGTTTTACATTTGGATGCTTTGTTAGTGAACTGATCTCATAGTGGCTCTATATTCTATTATATTTTACTTTAACATGTAGGGAGTCTGTAGCACTGAACAGTTCATGCAGACTTTAGGTGGGTTTTGGTGATTTTTGGTGATTTTTAATCCTCATATATTTTCATATGCTGCCTTTTTTTTTTTTTTTTTAATGTCTTTCTCCAACCCTGTCACAGGTTGACTGAAGCTCTTTTGTCGTTGAGGTTCACCATTCATAACAAGTCACAACAGTAACACCAGCAGTGCGCGCGGCTTCAAATTCTTTCCTAGGGCGCGCCTGCGTGCACGGGG